TTTTATTCATACTCATGATCTTCTAGTGTTATTTCCATCAACTTTTGTTCTTCGCCCATTCTTATGTGTGTTTGAACTTTTGACCGGCCAACAATTTTCCCAATCACATCTGCATTGATTTTCTCGATGAGTTTGTGTGTATGAATGATCATTCAACAATGTTTGCATATTATGATACTTTATTAATTTGTTTAAAAAAAATATAGTACCAATCAAGACTTGATCGTTCAAAATCGGTTGGTTTTGAATTGTCGCAAAAGTTTCAAATCAAACATGAAACGTGGAAAATCACTTCCATTCAATGTTTTGACTTGTGTTTTTACGTAAAAACCCAAAAGTTTCTCATTTGAGGTAGTTTTGACGGATTGGAAATTGTCATGAACAAAAACATCCCGAATCCCATAAACACCGTTCTCCACAATTTGATTCTCAAACCGTTTTTTTTCCCGGTTTTTTGAGATGTGCGTGAATCCTTGCGCCCTACACAAACAAAGAGAGTTTAGATTAGAAATAGTTAATATATAGATTACGATTATGTACAAAAAAAGTTTGAACGAAATACATGTTCATCGTGAAAAACGACTTCCATTGAATCTCCGCCTTTGGTCCAAGCGGGAACAAAATACACACGCACGGCCCGTAACTTGAACATCAGATTCGGCCGAGTGTTGCCAAGCTCACCAACGGGAGACCACATGCTTAAAGAAGACGTTTGAGACATTTGATGATTATTTTGGATGTTTGAGATGTGAATTTGGAGTGAATGAAGTTTACCTTATAATGCTTGAGTATTTATAATCATGCTCCATGATACATGTAAACATGCATTAAATGGTTTAGATTTTAAAAATCTTTAAAAAAGATGGATTTGACACAAAGTAATATTTTTTAAAACTACCTTTATGGAGCCACCAATTTTATGCTACCAATGCAACTTTTTCGAAGCTAGTAATGAATGGACATAAAGCAGGCCATTTCCGTATATCAATGCAGGCCAATTCCGTCAACCAATGCAGGTCCATTTCATCAACCAACGCAGGCCCATTCCATCAACCAAAGCAGGCCCAAACCCGAACCAAGGCCCGCCTACTTTAGGCGGGAACACTGTTCACAGAGAATTCCACCTAGCATTGTAATTAATGTCTTTATATCTTCAGGAAATACTAACAGATAATAAGTATTCAGAATCAGCCCATAATCCTTCATCATAGTACTTAAATCAAGTATTCACAGAAAATAAGAACACAGAATAAGTACTCAAAAACATCCACAGTTCATCAATTGCTCATCACAGCACATAATCCTTTCTCAGACCAGGTAGAATAAATCCAGTCATCATAGATTGGGAAAACATCACATTATGATACAATCACATCATCAAATATTGCGCAGGCACAATAACTCATCACATAACGAAAGGAATGCAGACAAAGGATGTAAAAGTACTTCCCTACTTGTACTTCGAAGCCCAAAAATTAGGGTCTGGACTGGGAAGTAAGATGTTCAACATATCAATGTGGAGGTGCATGCATGAGTAGATCTGGGAAGAATTCTGAATTGGAGTGATATCAGATCCCTTTGTGCCATCAGTATCAGTTTCAAGAACTATGACCTCAACCTCCTCGCTCTCCAGATGAATAACAGAGTCGCTTTCAGAGGTAAGGTCGATTAGCTCTTTCGCTTTGACCGGGGCAACATCGGCAACGTTCTCGTTATTCTCGAGAACGATTACCTCGTCCTCCTCCTTGTCGTCAGAGCTGTAGATGTAGGCGCCATCTACAAATTGGGTTTCTGGAATGCATGATTCATATAGATAATCATGGAATTCCATTGAAGAGATGGATGAACTGAGAATATGTATACAGATCTAGATCTAGATCTGTAAGTGAGGAGAAGAAGAGGCGAAGAAGTTATTGAGGAGAGGAAGAGTCACATACGGGTGGAGTAAATGAGGAGGAAGGGGCGGATAAGAGAATGTGAGTGGATAGGAGAAAATTAGAAAAAGGTGAAGGGTATTTTTGGAAGAGTGTGAGTTAAAATTAGAAATGTAAACTTTATTTTCGGACGGAGAAAAAGGAGAAACGTAAACTTTATTTCCAGACGGAGGGAGTAATAAAATAATGATTATTCAATATAAAATTTAATAATATAGGACACGCAAATTCTTAGCAAAAAATGTGAGGTATCCCATTATTTACCACAAATTTTAAAAACCCTTATAGTATACTTTAGATAATAAAGAAAACCTCCTAAATAGGAGTAAATCATATGTCATATCCACAAAATAGGAGCACAAGCTTAAACTTCCCTAAATAAGAGTAATTAATTGAGTAATAAAGAAGCCCTCATAAATAATATTAAATCTCTAATTAATCTCTTCTCTCTCTGGTCCATCTCCTCACGGCCACCCCACCATGCCTCTCTCTCTTCCCTCTCTCATTTTTTGCCACCACCCTTACCATTTTGAAGCGTTGCCTCCGTCAAATCCACCCCAAGTGCATGCAGTACATCACCGCCGCACCACTCCTTACAATGCCGCCGCACCAACTCTCCCCTTTGTAGATCTGTCACGAAGCATCCCATGTAGATCCGCCGCGGAACGGCGCCTCTATCGCTCCCCCTTGCAGATCTATCACGCCGCCTATATCCATCAGATCTGAGATTACCGCCAGTCGCGATGACTATGATTTGGATTTTTAATTAGCGGGCTCTATAATTGAGACTGCATTGTAGAAGTAAAAAAATATTTCCAACTAATTGCATTCCTTCTTTTTTTTCTCTAAAAAATTGTATCTTCATTAGGCATTGATTTTGGTTTGGATTTTTTCTTTTCATTTTTGTATTTGATTGTTTTTCCTTTTAATTTTTTTGTTTGATTGTTTTCCTATTAGTTGTGTTTAAATTTTACTCCCAATTT